ATTATATATATTATATATATAAATTCAGAGAAATAAAGCATAATGAATAGATTATTGTATATATATATATATATAGGTAAAGACATATACATATTATATAAATATAAATATATATATATATTAAATAAATAAATAGATAATGAAGTAAATACAGATATAGGTGAACAAACAAATGAACAATAAATAAGTAGAAGAAACAAATAAAACAAACAAACAAACAAACAAACAAACAAACAAATAAACAAACAAACAAATAAATAAACAAATTAAATAAACAAATAAACAAACAAATTAAATAAACAAACAAACAAACAAACAAACAAACAAACAAACAAACAAATAAATAAAATAAATAAATAAATGAAGACAGACCTGCAGGTATATCATCGGTATTATTAATTTGGCCTAAATTTTCTTTGAGTGTTTTGAGAGAAAATTTTCTGCGATTTCTTTCTTCATGTTGCTGCGCGATATTAATATTATTTAATTTATTATTATTATTATTATTATTATTATTATTTGAGCTGCCTATACACTGCAGCGCTTCTTCTTCTTCTTGATTTTCTGCTGCAGCAAAACCCCCTCGTCTTACTTCCTCCAGAGCCATTTCCATCCGTATCAAAGCTGCACGATATGCTGCAGCACTCAAACCAGACTTCTTGCTGCTGCTGCTGCTGCTGCTGCTGCTGCTGCTAGTGTCGCTGTTGCTACTATTACTATCCCCGCTGTTGATGCTGCTACTATTACTATCCCCGCTGTTGATGCTGCTACTATTACTATCCCCGCTGCTGCTGCTGTTGCTGCTGCTGCTGCTGCTGCTGCTGTTGCTGCTGCTGCTGCTGCTGCTGCTGCAAGGTGTATTATCCCAGCGGAAGGTCCCGTCGATGCCGGCACCGATGAGCATTGCTTGACTTTGTTTGTCTTTGTAGAGTATTTGAGTCTCAGGTTTATAAATCCAGTAGCCGGGGAAGTACTCTCGAATATTTTGTTTATTTCTTTGTAGCAGTGCTGTAGCAGCAGCAGGTGCTGCTTCTGATGCTTCAGCAGCAGGAAGACAACTTGCTGCAGCAAACTGTCCTTCAGGAAGATGTAAGTATGCCCAGTCGCGTAAATATTCACCATAGAAAGGACGATCAAGTGCAGCAGCAGCAGGAGCAGCAGCAGCAGCAGCAGCAGCAGTAGTAGTAGTACCTTGTTGCTGCTGTTGCTGCTGCTGCTGCTGCTGCTGCTGCTGCTGCTGCAGCAACCAACCTACTGGGTCTTCTCCTTCAGTTGTCTCCACTTCCTGTTCATCTGGAAGCATCTCAACATCAGCAGCAGCAACAGCAGCAGCAGCAGCAGCAGCAGAGTTCTTTGCTGCTGTATATTCGCTGCAAGCACCGTAGAAATCAAGAGGGTATGCCTCTGCTAATAATGTAGCAGCATATATTTTCTTCAACGGACAGCGCAGCAAAAACTCTTTTGCTGCTGCTGCATGCTCAGAAAAAAATAATATCAATTCACCGCATGCGTAGCACAATATGTCTTCCTCATACCTAGCCTCTTCATCTTGCTGCTGCTGCTGCTGCTGTACATGCTGCTGCTGCTGTTGCTGCTGTTGATGAAGATGCTGATGTTGCTGCTGTTGATGGAGATGCTGATGTTGGTGCACATGCTGTTGTTGTTGCTGCACATGTTGATGCTGTTGCTGCTGCTGTTGTTGCTGTTGCTGCTGCTGTTGTTGCTGTTGTTGCTGCTGCTGTTGCTGCTGTTGCTGCTGTTGCTGCTGCTGCTGCAGCAGGGTGATGGGTTTATCCCAGGGTCCTCCGGGTATAGACAGCAATTCTGCTGCTGCCATTGAGGTTCCTGGTGCTGCTGCTGCTGCTGTTGGTGCTGCTGCTGCTGCTGCTGCTGCTGCTGCTGCTTTATCGGCACGCCCCAGTAAAGACACAGCAGTAGCAGCAAGAGATAAATCTGCTGCGTCTGCTGCTGCTGATGCTGCTGCTATCTCTGCTGCTGCTTCTTCTGTTGCTGCTGCTCCTGGCGTTGCTCTAACTGTACAAGAACGAATTGCTGCAACAACAGCATCCAACTGAGATGCCTCCTTGCTGCTGCTGCTGTTGCTGCTGCTGCTACTATCAGAACTGTTGATGGCGTGCTGCTGCTCCTGCTGCTGCTGCTCGGAGTCCCTAGCAGCAGCAGCAGCAACAGCAGCAGCAGAAGCAGCAACATTCGCTTTATGTCTCCTTTCTTTTCTTCTTCTAAGCGCACGAAGCTGCTGCTGCTCTGTGATTGGCAGCAGCAACTCGGGAGGCAGCAGCAAATCTGCTGCATTATCTTTTCGAGGGGGAAGCAGCAGAGACCTCCTATTAACACAATTGCTGCGACATAAAAAACGTAGCTGCTGCTCAGCAGCAAACCCCAGCGCACGCCGACGCTCCTTCTCTGCTGCTGCTGCTGCTGCTGCTGCTGTTGCTGTTGCTGTTGCTGTTGCTGCTGCAGAGCCGTCTGATTTGAATTT